AGGACTTGTGCAAAGGTATGTTTAACCTTATCGTGAAGTGAGTTTAGAATTTGTCTGATTCTGCCACTGATTGTTGTAGGAAACTCACTTTAGAGTGACGTCAAGAGCAACATTTACTGGTTTCACTTTAGAGAAGGTAAGGGTTTCTTATGATTTATCTGGCTGGTTAATGTTCTTGTCTAACTTGATTTCTTTTGTGTGTAGGTTGGCCTGCTACTGTTTCAGTTTTTGATTTGTTTTGATTTCAATTTTTCTTTTGTTTCAGTTTACTTATTTAGATGTTTATTGATTAAAAATAACTTTTCTTTTTTTGGGGGGTTTGTTTTAGGGAAAGGGACTTTCTATTTTAGCCCGCTGACTTGTTTTAAACTGGGACCTATGCTGTCCCTGGGTCCTAGGCTGTTTTATTTAGATTGAGGAGACTAGTGGAAGGGGAGTTTTTTTCTTTTCCTTTGTATTTACAAGGGATTTTTGTGTGAATGCTTCTGTTGGGGAACACTTGGGTGCATTTAGTTGTATTTGTGTTTTCTTTATTATTCCTCCCCCAAACAGCCAAATTTTTATCTAATTGGGTTTTAATTATTTTTCAGCTTTAAGGATCCCAGGGCCAGCATAGACTTCCATTTTAGTGTGGTCACTTGGTATAATAAAATAAATTGACTATTTTTGCTCATGAAACATTTGTGAATTCAATAAACTGTATCTGCAGCAGTGCCTCTGTCCATTTTTGCAAACATATCTGTGTGATCTGGTAAAGAGGATCTAAAGCTGTACCCAAGGTCACGTAACCTACTGTGGTATGGTACACAAGTTTCAATAGGAGAGGCCTCTCCCTTTATAGATTTATCAGATGTGATAAAAAAAAAAAAAAAAAACTAGGGTCCCTCAAAGCATGTTTTTTTTCCAATCTGGGCCCCCTGTAGGTCCAGTCCAGGTACCTGCTGCAACCCATACCCTACCTATAATTCCTTCCCTGAAGTGATATCACAAATGTTACAACTGTGGGAGGAACAGTCTGATGGTGTAAATTTAGAAATCAACACAGGACAGGATTGCTTTTTATTTAACTCTTTGGGAAACTAACACTCATGATGTTGAATTAATGCTATTTTTAACATGCAACACTTACACTGGAAATTTAACACTTTTGAATTTGCTGTGTGGGATCCAGGGTGGTGGGTTGTGTTCTTTTCTCCACCAGAGGCTGCTGTTGGTCTGCCTACCTGAGGGCGTGATCTGGAGCCGTTGAGTCCAGCACACCTGCGGACAATCTGTTCATCTGGAGGAGGATTTAGGCGGGGGACTGTCAACACTTCAGTGCCAGAGTGTTAGCCAGTATTGGTACACCAAACCCTTTGCAGTTTATCTTTCGATGATATACCTATCTGAGCTTCCAGTAATTTCTCAGGACTCCTTTGAAGACGCTGTGGAAATACCCACCTGGTTCCGAGTCCCTGGATCTATCTGTGCCTTCTTACTTTGAGATGCCGTGGAAAATACTCACTGGTCGCCCAAGTGCCATAGCCACCTCTACTGCAGTCTACTTACCTCCGTTGATCTCCAGCTGACCGTCCCGCTCACACCTTCTCCGCCACTGCATCTGAGCTTACCCGTCCGCCCTCTGCCGCAGCCTCTGCCTCCAGTCCGCAGCCCCCCCTCCTGGACCTCAGCCCTTCTGACCACGATCATATCCCCCCCCAGACTCAGCTCCGTTCATCTCAAGTAACTTTAACTCATCTGAAAATCGCCAGAATCCAGTTACCATTGAACTCACTATCTCTCTTTTCTTGTGTTCAGTTCCCTGGAGTTCCTGGCTGCCCCCCCCCCTCCTGTTACACAAGGACCTGTGCATAATATAAATCATTGTTTAGAAGAAAATAAAATCATCTTAATTGATCTGTGTTCTCCATTGTGTGTTCTGCATGTGGGTCAGGAGATTAGATTCAAACATGACAGTTGGGGTATGGAGGAAAGTGAGAGTTTATAAGATGAAACATAAACGGGGCTGATGGATGGGTCAGCACAGCTCTCTGTTCTCTGGAGGAAGTCTGGTCAGGAGTTCCCAGACTTCTGCTAACAGGACCAGATTCACTCTTGAGAGAGCATTCCTTTTGTAATGCTGGTTCTTGCAGCATATCAAAGTCACAACTGAAACCCTCCCTGCTGATGCTCTTCCCCGGTGCTTTGACCTATTGCCTTGTGGGTTAGTAGATGATACAAAGAATGTTAAGAGACCGTATTTCACTTTAAAAAGCTTACCTGACGTAGCCATTTTGTGAACAGCTGCCAAGGGACGCGAGTCACACAATAGGACATTTTTTTTATGGTTGGACAGAATGGAGTTGCAACAATAACAGGATTAAATTTACAAAAATAAAGTTGTGTAATGGAAACATTAAGATTTCAGAAAAATTCAATTTTTTGTATTTTTCTGAAATTAAAAAAAATTAATTTCAGCTAGGATGCGAAGGATGCGGTGGTTTTTCAGTTGTATCGAAATAGATGTATGCTGTGGATGTTACTATTGGAAGACAATGGAGAAAATGACAGAATGTGGTAGGAGGATGATGGTTTGTTTTTGTTCTTTTTTTTTTTTTCCAGACTAATGTGCAGGCTCCACCAGAGCTCTCACAGCATCACAGTTCATAAAAAGTTGTGGTTCATTCCAACATGTTGAATCCTTAACTCTTTTGTCCAATAGCAGCCAATAAGCGGCTAAGAAAGACTAATCAATCTAACAGTCCACTGTGGACTCTTAGATTGATTAGTCTAAGAGTCTAATCAATAATGCTGGCAATAGCAGCAGCTTCACAAAAATCATTATAGCATCTTTTTGTCTTTTGTGTACAAAAACATGATCGACAACACAATTCAACAGACGCATAATGCATTTTGTTTTTCTTTTTTTCAAAAAGAATGCAAAACCGTAAACGAACCATTCGAATGCAAGATGTATAAAAATATATTTACTGGGTCATTCATTTCCCCTCTAACTATGGAAGCCTTTTTTAAATAATAACTGAGTACCTGGAGAGAACTCATGGACCCACAGGGAGAACATGCAAACTCCATACACAAAACCCCAGGCCAAGATTGAAACCCAGGCGATTACCAACTGAGTCACTTCCTAGATCAAGGGTGTTCAAACTTTTTGACACAGTCAAGTGAAAACAATTTGAGGGTCAAAACAAATGTTCTTTACCCACTCAACAATAAACTAAGGATGCAATATTTTGAAAGAAGATGTATTTCTGAAAGAATACATATTCCTGCCTAAATGTCAAAATAAACGCTCTACAGAGAAATCTACATCAGATTCTCTCTTAAATATTACTTTTTTATTTTTTTTTGTCCCTGTTGCAGTAGGGTTTATGGGAAGCATCAACCCTCACTTGTTCTGAAGACAGAAAACCGAGCAGCTTTATCTGTCTGCTGACTACATGATATTCATTCACAGACTCGGGGAGCATGAGGCAAAAATGAGGCATAAAGTTGCTTGTCAGGTAAGACACTATCAGTCAGGCCCCGAGGCATTTAATGAGACATTTCTGCTCTAGAGAAATGTCGCTGATATGAATGATGAAGAATGTTCAGTGTCACCGCCCTATCTGGTCGGCCTTGTCAAAAAATACAAGTTGAGTGTTGCTGGAGGAGATTCAGGGTTTACTACAGAGATATGAACAACTCAAAATCTCACCATGAACATTATGGATACCTTTGATAATTCTATGGTTGGGAGGTTCAAACCAAATATGTTTCTGTGTGATAATGTCATGTTAATTTCCACAAAACACAACATTTTATGGAATTATGCTGTTTTCTATTAGATATATGATGAAGTAAATGTAATTGTCTATGATTACAATCAAAATGTAAAATTTGAATTGGATTTTTTCAGCAAGAACCAACTAACTGAAAGTGATTTTTGCACACATTTTGACTCAGTAAATGATTCAGTTCCATGTAAATTGGATTTACATGGAATGACAGTTGATGTGCAACGCTACTTGTAACAATACTTTAATATTATTCTGTTTATATTTTTATTTAGGAGGAGAAATGAAATAAAGCCTACATTTATGCTTAAACAATGTTGGACTGTTAGGACAACAACTACTATAAAAACCAAACAAGGTTTTCATTCATAAAAGAGATGGCACAATTTTCTGTAGAGGTATAGATAAATGATTTTTCAGAAGAGGGGCCCAGATGTCTGAAAAGAATATGAATACTTTTCTAAGTGCCAGTTTAAGAGAACAGGAACATGTAGAAAATCAAAAGTGACTGAGAGATTGAGATAAATACGAGCAGCTGGGTCAGGACAGCAGCAGATAACCGGCCTGTTTATCTGATTCTGCCCTAAAACACCAGCAGGTACAGAGAAGATGGCTGCCTCAGTGCATATTATTCTGAACATGTACAGTATATTGATATTGAATCTGAATGTATGTTGATAATGAATTGCGTCAGGAGAACACCCTCCAGTTCTGTGACACCATGGATTATGCCAGTGTTTTCCCAACCCTGGTCCTTGAGGCACACTGCCTTCCTTGCATGTTTGAGAAATTTCCCTGCTTTAATGCACCTCATCCACCTGATTGCAGTTCAGCAAAAACCTGTTAATTGAAATCACCTGTGCTGAAGCAAGGGAACAAAAACATGCATGGCAGTGTGCCTTGAGGACCAGGGTTGGGAAACACTGGATTATGCAATCTATCCATTTATTGCAGGAAATAACTGGAACTAACGCACCCTGTTTATTTCATTTGAGGTGATTTTAAGCATGGTCATTATAGTTAACTGAAACTAATGAAATTACCAAAAATGAAATTGACCAAACTAAAGTGCCTAAATTAACTAACCTAAATATTGAACTGTTAAAAACTAGAAAACACACCACAAAAACTAACTAAAGCAATGTGAAATAAGACAAAAAGTCACAACAAAATAAAACTAAAATATAATGAAAACCCACAAACTATTATAACCCTGATTCTAAGACATATAACTCACATCTGAACTTTAGAACACTGCCTTTTCCAGTATGTAATTGGTCATTTCTCGATTTTGATCACCTGTCTTGACGTTCCACATAAAAGTCTGGACAGGAAGCAGCTCACCACTGTCTCCTGAGTCAGAACCAAAACGTAAAGTTAATTAATTTTTACCAGTTCTTTGATCTAACCATTCTGTCGTAACTCTGATTGTACTTCCAGTCATGTTGTCCTGCGATAGTATGAAATTGTGTCTCATTTTATTAGACCACCTTCTTCAACATCTTTGTTGTGTCACTTGCGTTGTGGCAAACTTTAGTTTCTATAGTTTCAAAATAGCTTGAAACCTTCAGGTTATTGTTGAAAGTTTCAAATTTCAATAGCTTTCCTCTTCCCACTACAGGTGCACAACTCATTTTTCTCCTACCTCCGTATTCTGCCACCTAAACTGGAAAAAACCTGGCACCTTGATCTGTATGTCAGATTAAACAGAAAAGGCAGAGTTGGTCTCATAGTCCTTCTAAATAGATGACAAAGTTGCTGATGATTGTCATGGTTTTAGGAATTTGTCTGACCCACATGCAGAAAAGACCATAAGGACAAGAGAACAACTCTTTTATGTTTAATTGTAGCCAGCAACAATTGTATAATTGTATAACAGCAAGCATAGTTATACAGTCTTTCAGGATTGAGATTTAGCAGGGAGAGACTCAGCGGAGCAGGGACCAGCTGGGGGCACATCGGGGTAAGTGGAGCAAGACTGCTGAGGAAAGTCGTCAGATCGTCAGGGATCAGAGGCAGGAAACCTCATCCAGGTGGAATCCAGAGGAACAGCATACCTGACGAGGCAGAACAAAACGCGGGTAAGCTATGATCTCAAAAGATATCAGATAAGGATCTGAGACTCTTAGGGGCTGAGTTACCACATAGGTACCCATACCACTCTGGCCTCGGCAGATCTGCAGTTGACTCTACTTATCCTTCCTATGATGAAGGTGGATGAATAGCAGGTGTGCTGGAGAACCTCAGACAGACTGAGCATGCCTCCTGCTCCCTGAGGACATCTGGTGGATAAAGGTGGAGGAAGGACTGCCCAACAATGTGTTTTTAGTAAAACTCATTTTATTTCAGACTTTAGCTGTATAGTTACTTCCAAAATTTATAACACGGACACAGTATCCAGCTTACATCATAAAGGAAAGTGATCTTCTGTGGAAGGAAGAGAGGAAGCAGTGAAGATGCGAAACAGTGGGGAGATTTTTTGGTTGGTTGATGAAGTGGTTGACAATGGTACTACATGTAGCATGGTCTTTCTTTTCTTTCTGAAACTGCAGCCCATTGTAAGCAGTCCATAAAGAGCGTGTAGGACCGCTTTAAACTGTTCTCTGTAACAAAGCAAGGAAAGGCCTCAGAATAGTGACAACTTCATAATCTAAATGTTTAAACTTATGTCAATCTGATGAAAACAAATTTTAATTTTAACATAACACAATAGTAGTCAAAATCGGATCATTAATGTTTCCCAGCAGGCATCACCGATGCTGACGTTAAAAATAGAATCATAGTTACTCTGTTTGATCGTTGATTTGATGTGAGGTCAGAAACCATCAACACTCCTGCAGTATCAGTTTTATTTTCACTCTAAAAAGTTTGATTTGGCGTGTTAACAAAACTACAATAAAAATAATGTGGCAAATGTTGTCAAAAACTGAACCTGAAGTTCTCATTTTCAGTGATGTTTTCACAACTTCATTCCACTTATGTATTTTTTCTGAGTTGTAAAATCCTTTTTTCTAAAGGTGAAATTTGATCTTTCAAAATGAAGTTTTATTGCCAACACTGTAAAATCTAATTCGTTCACCTTACCTCAGAAAAAAATCAATCTTTTAAAACTTAAAAAATGTGCAAGTTGTACATCTTAAGTTGTTTGCATCACTTGACTATAATTTCGAGTAGCATTAACTTGTGCAAATTTAGTGACCATAACATAAGATAACTTAATAAGTTTGAGTATGCTATAATTACTTAATCAACAACCAGAGCTTAGTTTCTCTTTAACTATAAACTACTTAGATAATAAGGAGATACCTATTGAAACACTTCTTGGCTCCTGCTTTTTATTTGTTTCTCTGCTTACACATTGACAGAAAATATGGAATATGGAAAACAGTCATAGTTTATTCACTTTTTAAAAGTAAAACAAACAATCACATAAAACACTACACCATCATGCAGAGTCAGGTGAATGAACACACGACTCACTACAGGTGCAGTTTCATATATGCAAATGAAAATGCTGAACATAGCTACATTCTTGATGAACTGACCTTTGGAGTCTATGTTTATGACTTAATCATCTTAAGTCATAAACTTAAGATGATTAGTTTATGACTAATCATCTTAAGTCATAAAGATGATTAGTCTTTATAACTTTTTTATTTTTGTGACAAAAAAAGCGGTTTAATTAGTTGCTGCTGCTGGCACAATGCATTGTGGGATTCCGTGCTGGCCAATCCACACTGTCACATGTCCTAAAAAAATTAATTGATTGCAACATATAAAACAAATGAAACTATGTTGTACGAGTTAAGTATTGCAAACCTAAAATAACTTGATACATTTTGTTTAGCTGTACATAAACTAAATAGCAAAGACATCTTGCTATTTGTCTTTGGTATACATAAGATATGCAAAGGTATGCCTTGGGTGTTGTTAAACTGTGATTACAACATACTCAGATTTATTAAGTCACAAAAATTCTTAAATCAAGTTTGCATATATATTTTTAAGTAAGGAGAACTAAATCAGTTTTTTCCTGAAGAGTTAAATCTATCAGTTCTATGTCAGTAGAACTTACTCAAAATGATCAAGTTTGTCAAACTGAGTAAACTTAAGATGTACAACTTCCACATATTAAAATTTTTAAGTCTTTAAAGCTTGATTTTTTTTTCTTTTGAGGGAACGAGTTTGCATACATTTCTAAAGCAATAAGTAGTAAATTCTAATTATTTTGTTTCTGCTGTATGAAGCAAATCCATCAGAAAAGACCTTTAAATATCCTCGGACAGTTGGTTTTATGTATGTGGAGCAAAATGAAGCAGCTTCATTTTTGAGCCATCTGATGCCAGATGGCGAGTGTGTTGACATTCCGCAGGCCGGCTTACCAGTGCAAGGTGATGTGATCCCCTGGAGCTTAACACCAGCAAGACTCTGCTTCCTGTGTCAGCACCTTAAGACCTCTGAAGGCAGCATCTGTTCCTGTTTATCATCTGCACTTGCAGAGGCTTCCAACTGACTACAAAACTGTGGTGTGAACAATAATTCTTTATTAAATCTAAATACATCGACTGTTTGCCAGCAGGAAACAATGACACCTGATGCAGAAGCAAGAAGTAACCAAACAGAAGGCGCTCATCGTGACTGTTTTCACTCTATCCCAGTACAT